TTTGTCAAGATGAACCCGAAATAATAGTTACCTTTTCGCATTTCTCCCAAACCATTACCTTAATAACCCCCCTTCTCCTGCCATTAGTACACCGTGGACTGTGGGGGTACCTTTATGATGATGCCTAGAGCGAGCAAGGTGGTCAATGTTTATTACGACATTCATAACAGTGCACGAATCAGTTCTTAACTTTTATAAGGCAATGCAGAATAATATAAAACATTTTTTAGAATTATTTTTTTGTGCATGAATTACAGGAATCAGTCTTGACAACTTTACTGTAATTTAAAAAGAGCCCTTGAATATGATAAAATTATTGCCTAGGTCGAGAACAATCTAAATATTTATGAAGCCATTACACGAAGCAGTCTTTAAAACTTATACAGAACAGTTAGTGCAAGAGGCAGTCTTTAAAAATAATACAGAACACTATAGAAACATTTAAAACAGTCTTTATAAAACAGGCTTTTTGTCGGACATAGAATACAAAAAATGAGTCTCTCAAAATTTACTGTCTCACATAACAGAGCACATAGGATTGCTCCTTTGTAAGGTAACCTATTGATGACACTGAAATCTGTAATGTTTGGAAGGAAGCAAATCATTAATAGCCAGCAAATATTGAAATATATGGTAAAACACGCTGTACAATCTTACCTGCGCATCATCAAAACGGACAAATTTCTTCTCAATTTTCTTTTATGGCCTCATAGTGAGAGTTCGGAGTGATGTGGTTGATAGAGCCTAAGAAGTGAAAAGAAGATTCGTCCCCAACTTTAATTTTTAGATTTTGTCGAATAATATCTTCGAATTTTGAACCCGTGCCGTGCGGTCGAACCTGTCGAGGAATACAAACACTAATTAGTGCCAACGTTAAAAACTATAATTAAATCCGTGTTACTTTCTTAGATTTCGTTGATTGGTGACACTCTCACAGCAAACGTGTCTGCGTGACTAAAGGATATATAGCGTCCTTTTTAAATGCAATAGGAGTTCACGTGGAGCAGGAGCACCTTTCAACTCCGTGGTCTTGGTAACTTCCACGACTTCCTTACAACTTTCACACTTGAAACTCGTCACTGTCTCTGGTGCAAAGAACATGTTAATGCAGTCTTGCACAGAGAGGCACTTATTAATGTTCAAGGACAACATTACTGTGGCCTCGTCACAGCACGATTCAGCTTTGCACGCTGTACATTTTAATGAAATTGAGGGTTTGCGATGAGAACTGTTTCAAAAAAGAGGCAAAAAAACAAAGCAACGAAAAACTGGTTTTATACCCCCTCCCGGTAAAGGGGGGTATGAATCACCTGACCTGACAAAATCCCCCCCCCCCTGGCATTGGGGGGTATAAAAGCCCTGACTGATTTATACCCCCTCTCGGTATAGGGGGTGATAAATCACCTGACCTGGCAAAATTATACCCTCATCCCTGGCATATGTGGGTATAAAACCACCGACGGATTTATACCACCTCCCGGTATAGGTGGTATAACACCACTGACTAATTTATAGCCCCCGGTATAAATCCCCTGGGGCATTTGTACCCTAGGGGGTCGAGGGAAGGGGGGGTATAAATGTGTTAGGG